GCAGAGTAAGCCTTGATTCCCCGTTTGGACTTCTATGTTGACATCCAACCCTTGGCACTCATATGACCTTATGCAGTTGCGAGCACCGTAAAACCTTGCTGAAACTAAAACTTGATCTCCCCAGATTGTGCAGAGTGTGGGCAATTTGACCCCTGAAAAACCTTACTAAGCAAACAAACAAGTCCCATAAAACTTAACAAAAACAAACAAGCAAACGCAGTAAAACCTTACTAAAACAAAGATGCAAGCGCCGTAAAACCTTACTAAAACAAAGATGCAAGCGCCGTAAAACCTTACTAAAACAAACAAGCAAGTGCCGTAAAAGCTTACAAACTAAACTCCTGTTTCTATTTTCCCTCAGGCTTTCGGCAAAATCCTGTCAGGCCTGTGTCAGTGCGGAGCCTGGGGCTGCATGGACGAGTTCAACCGCATCGACATATCCGTCCTGTCCGTCATCTCCACCCAGCTGCAGACCATTCGGCACGCGCTCGTTCTGAAGCTGACTAACTTTACCGTGAGTCTTTACTTTTGCTTTTTCGTCCTAACCGCTGTAAGGGAAAATTTGAGGAAGAATAGGGCAGACAGCACTGGCTGGTGCCCCTATAAATAAATCATTGATGGTCAGGGCAGACAGCGGTTCCCACACCCTGGGTAGATTGAAGGAGAAGGGGATCCAAAGAGGAGAAGAGAAACACAGCCACCTGTACGGACCAGTCCGACGGATCTCCAGACAGAATGATTATGATGGGGACTGTAAGCAGACAGACTCTGGGATGGATCCTGAAAGGGGTGGGGAGGGGAGTAGAGATGGACATGTTCCGACTGTAGTGACCCCAACACTGTGGATAAGGTGTGACAAGGTGTGTGTGTGGTTTTTTTCATCCTCTGTTGCCGTTAAGCCTCGAGGGGAGATGCAGTTTTTGTTGGTGGTAGGCCAGCTCCACAGCTCTTTCAGTTGTCCGTGTTTTCTCCTTTGTCTGTCTCGTAGCATGATTTATACGCCGTCGGCTTGCCAGGCCAGTCACGGTTTCACCAGAGCCCCTTTAGCCAGCAACGTTTCGGGGTGACCCGGGTCGGCCTCAACGGCTAGCGTAACG